AGATCTACTTTATTCTAGGGGAGATTTTGTATAGTAATCTCGCAGCTTTCCTCCTACGAATTTTTTTCCTTTGGTCTTCCTATTTCTTCTTCCTTTATTTCAACAACAATTATTTTATCATAAAAAACAATACTAAAATTATCTTTCGGATTCCCCTGTGTATTGGCATCGAATGTGTCTTTTTGTTGGTTAGCCAATTGTTTTGCTGATTGACTGTCTTGTGTCTCAAAGTTTCTTATGGAGACTTCAGTGTTTTGTGGCTATCCATAAACACCCGTATAAACTAATTGAGCATTTCCTCTAACTTTTTTTATTTTTCTTTTGTGGAGGTGTTTGTATATAATGTTAATAAGGTTGTATATTTTATGGACCAGCTTCAAATCTCCATTCTTGATTGAAGTTGTTGTTCGTTGGAAAGATGTTGTTTGGATATTGTCCAGGCCTTTAATGATTTCCTACATAATTCACTTATGCATTAGATGGGGGAAGGGGAATATACTTGTATGATAACCACTAAATAATTCTTAAAATACAATCTTCCTTTGTTGTGGCGTTTCATGCATCTCTTTCAACTGTTGTGGCAGTTTAGACAACTGTTTGGTCAGCTCATCCACTATTTGTGTCAACAACTTATTTTGCGCTAGAATAACATCATTGGTATTCAATTCCATGATACCATTATTTATTTGTGAAGGTTTTTTGTTATGTTTTCCTTGAAGGTTAGTGAGCGACATTCTTTCAGTGATTACAATTGTATCTTCTGCATTTTTTGACATAAGAGAACCCATTGCAGTAGCATCCAGCGACAACTTTGGTTGTTATTGTAATATACTTCTTAAGATTTGGATTTGTGTAAGATTTTCAAAAACTTGGTTTAAACATCTTCTTAGCATGGATTTGTACCTCTCTCACACTTCACAAAGAGTTTTAGTTACGCCTTGGTAGGACATTACAATAGTTGTTTTTGCTTCCATGAATTTGTTGTGAGAGGGAATCTATTCAAGAAAATTTTCCTCTAACGCATCCCAATTTGTGATTATCGATGTTTTTTTTAATATACCTCTCCTTCATTTGAAAATTAATGAATGTGGAAATAATCTGAGGAATACCACTTCCTCTTCAGTTTCATGAGCTCCCAGCATCCAAAAAATCACATAAAACTTCGTGAGGTATGTGTACGGGTCCTAATGATCTAATACGAAAAAATTATTAGCATAAAGAATTTATAACAATTTCATTTTCCTTTTTTGTCTATCCATGTGTGTCAGACCTCTTGGACTGATGTGGCATGGCATGCCACCAGCATTGTTTTCATTGTTGTCATTGTTCTTGTTCTGATTGTTGTTTTTAACCATATTATCCATGGTTTATTATTTTGAAAGAGAACACTCTTTTACATCTTGCAACTTTTTTTATTCTATTCTTATTGTTGTTTTTATATGTGGTTCTTTCGATTTCAAGATCAAATAAAAGAAGTTTTGTCGGATCCTTACCTCGCATAAGCAAGTAATAACAATACTAGCTAACATGATTAGTAAGTTAGTGACTATTAACAAAAAATGCACAAATGTTAACAAATATAAACATAAAATTAAATGATAAAAACTATTGCAATGTCTTTAAAGATTATGTTTCAATGTAGATGACAAGTGCAATAATATCATATCCAGAAGAAATGATTGTGTTTCAAAGATTTTTCAATAGTTTATGATACTTTAAGTTTGGTTTATCAAAGGTTGATTGTTTGGTGAATACTTTGAAAATTAAAATAATAGAAAATAAACATTCGATGTTTTAGTGAGAAAACTTTATTGGGGTAATACTTCATTGACCTATTCTTATATAGAATTTTTGACTAGTAATATGCAATTCTATATACTTATTAATATTACTACTTATTTATCTCATTGTGGCTCAAGTCTGAGCCAACGGCGTGAAGTTAGTTGTATTATCTTATTGACGATCTCTCAATCTATTAACTAATAGGTCATCATTAAAACTCAAATGTGAATGCATATATTAATCTTCCATTTCACCAATATCGTTATTCGTATAGATATTAAACTTAAATCTATGTCTTGATTATAGTATCCAATAAATAATAGATTTGAATCCAATAATAATTAGGACCTTCTAAATATCAAATTATATGATGAAAACATGTCAAAAGTATCTTTTCCAAAATAAGCATTAAGAAGAAAAATCTATCTGAAATAAGAAGAACCGCCTAAGCGCGCCTACTTTCTAGCGATGTCATTTATACATATCTCCAGCTCCAATTGATCACACCAAAACCCATAGCAGCACCACCACCTACCCACTCCAACCATTGTTTCAATGCCCTACTCAGCAAATTTTCACCATATTCGGATGGACAAATGTGACATTCACAAGATGTCATTATGAATTTCGGGTAATTTCGCTTGGTTTATGTAATGCCCCATCCACTTTTCAGTCCACCATGAACCTTATATTTGAACCATATTTGAGGCATTTGGTGACTTTGTTGTTTGATAACATTTTGGTTTAAAGCCCCACAATCGAGAGTCACTTAAAACACTTAGAATTCCATTGACTATTTGCTTAAAGCAATCTAAGTGTTTCTTTGCTCAACATTCCATTGAATATCTTGGTCATATTGTGTTTGCCATGCGAGTTGGTCAGGACCCTCGTGATTAATTGGCCACCACCTAAGAATATGAAACAATTATGCAGATTCTACATAATGTTAGTTCAAAATTATTCGACAATGACCACCTTTCACAGCTATGCTAAAATGTGATGCTTTCATTTGGAGTGATGCAGCTCAGACAATGTTTGATTTTTTAAAAATTGCTATGTCTGAAGCGCACTAGTTTTGGGTTTGCCAAACTATGTAAGCTAATGACACGGGTTATACACACATCGGAACAACAATTCTACATGGCTAAGTCATTGGTTTATTCATATGAAATGTTGTTCGTTAAGGGGAAACTTATTTGTGGCTTCCACCTAGAGGTGGCAAAATGGACGGATTGGATGGGATTGCTAATGGATAGATCAAAACAATCCGTTGGTCCATTAACAATCCACTAAATTTTTTTTTAAAAATTATCTAATACAATACATCCGTTAAGAATAAAATTCATCAAATCCATCCATTAACATATTTTTAATGGATGAATATCCATCCATCCAACTTTTTTTTTTATTTTGAAAAAACAAACGTTTTTTTTTTTTATTTTATTTTATTTTTGAAAATTTAGTTTTTTATATTTTAAAAAAAAATTTGTTTTTTTAATATATTCATGAAAAAATTGAATTTTTTGTTTTAAAAAAACCATTTTTTGTATTTTCAAGAAAAAAATTGTATTTTCTGAAAAACAAATCAATTTTTTGTATTTTCAAGATAAATAATCGATTTTTTGTATTTTAGAAAAAAATCAATTTATATTTTGAGAAAATCGACTTTTTGTGTTTTTTAAAAAATAATTTTTTTAATTTTTGAAAAAAAATCGATTCTTTTTTTGAAGAAAAAAATTGATTTTTTGGACAAACTCGACTTTTTGTATTTTCTAAAAAATTAATATTTTAATTACCCAAAAAAATCAGTTTTTTTTTAAAAAAAAAAGTCAATTTTTTTGAAAAATTTGACTTTTTTGTATTTTCCAAAAAATTGATACTTTAATTGTTAAAAAAATTGTTTTTATTTCGAAAAAAAAAAGCAGTTTTTTTTTGGAAAAAAATTGATTTATTTTTTGTGAAAAAAATCAGTTTTTTTGAAAATAAATTGGTTTTTTTTTCGGAAAAAAAATCAATTTTTTATTTTAGAAAAAAAAATGATCAGTTTCTTTTTTCAGAAAAAAATCCATTTTTAATTATTTAAAATTTTTTTTACAGAAATAAAAATAAATCATTGAATCATATATGTTGGATGGATTTAATTCAATTCATTAACTTATTTTGATGTGATAGATGAATTTGATGAATTTTTTGATAGATGAATTTGATAAATTTTGGATCTAATTATCAAACTTTCACCTCACTCCTTAAACTTACTCTTTTGGAGGAATTTCACGCATCAACCATTGGAGGACATAGTGGGATCCATTGCACATTTGGACGACTCAAAGATAACATGTTTTGGCAGGGTATGCGTCAAGATGTTGTGCAAATTGTGAAAGCCTGCTTCGTCTGTCAGTAGACCAAATCGGCGAATATTTCACCTCATGGTTTACCGCACCCATTGCCTATTCCGGATAAGGATTGGGAAGATATCTCTCTTAATTTCATCATAGGACTCTTCATCATAGGACTCCCTTTGTTCCAAACAGACGTTGTTATTTTAGTTGTTGTGGATGGACTATCCAAAGCGGCACACTTTGGATCTCTCCCAACACAGTTTATCACAGTCAAGGATGTAGAGCTCTTTGTTCGCATAGTCTGTAAGTTACATGGCATGCCAAGGAGCATGGTCTCAGATAGATACCCCATTTTCCAAAGTCATTTTTGACAAGAGCGATTCCGCTTGAGTGGAATGAAGCTGAGTATGTCGACATTGTATCACCCTCAAAATGATTGCCAAACAGAGATTGTCAACAAAAGGGTGCAGCAATACTTGAGGTGCTTTGTGCATGATAATCCTAAGTTATGAGGTCAATTCCTACCATGGGTTGAGTGGCATTATAATACCTATGTCCACACATTAACTAGCTTTTCACCTTTCTAAGTCGTGTATTGTAGACCACCACCATCTCTGATGGATTACGTTCTAAGATCTACTACACTGGAATGTACTCTTTTAAATTCTTCCTAGGTTCTAGCTTTTCATTTTGCAGCATAATTGCTTTAAAACAAAAAACGTAAAACATGACTAAGAAATAATAGGCCAAGGAGTGTGAAAGCGACACTAATACATATATCTACAACATACGTTACAACAGTTAAAGAAACATGAAACAGAATAAGAGTTACATTGAACAATAGCATGCTGTGTTCACTTTTATTATTTTTCCAAAATTTCAACCTTTCAACTTATGAGCTGCTGCAAGTTCAACAGATAGAATAAACGATGATTTCCCTGCTTCTTTTAAATATCGAACATCTCCATTCATAAGCTTTAACAACTTCCTACTGATGTGTAGGCTAATACCCTCCTCAGATTCTAGCACATTATTTCCAAACATCTGGTTCAACGCCGCTTCGGGCACGCCACTACCACCGTGTGTTATGCTACACAAATCACAAACAAAATATATACAGATATTAGTTTATTGCGGTTAGCAGTTTCACCAAAGCTAAGATCATTACTGAGGCTTAAATCATCGAATACTGTAAATCGATACATGCGTAAGTATAGAACAGTTACCTGAGCTCCAAGTTAACAAGATGGACAGATTTTCCCAACTGTTCTTTAGTTAAGGAGGATGCTATAACAACCTGGCCTCCATTAGGTGTGGAATTGATGGAAATTAGTAAAAAGTCAGCTAAGACCTGTTGCAGCCTAAGACTATCACCATACAAGGTTTCCTTTGCGATATGCTCCGCAACATCGTTTGCTATTCGGATACCCTTTGTGTTGCTCCTATTCATGACTTGACTAAGAGAGGTAACCAGTACCTCATGTAAAGTAAATTCAGCCATCTCAAGATCCAAGTACCTGTTAAGCATACATGAAATGTGAGCAAGGGTGAAAATAATTAAGAGAACAATATATTTACTGATATCATACCCATCAATGATGCCGTCGAGATCAGAGTCGTCAAGAATTTTGCTAAGCTGGCGCTGGCACTGAGAACTAGTGTTCACGATTTGTTTTTGTTCAGTTTCCAAGTCAGTACCCTCCAGCATTTTACTGGAAAACACAATCCCAGCCAACGGATTCCTGATCTGCCTTTTCATGTAAGTCAGTACTTTCAGTCTCTTTAGAGCAGTTTGTTCGGATAGGCGCTGAATATGTAATGCTTGTTGCAGCTCAGGGCTAGCTAACTGCAAGAAACAGAAGACTCCGGTAACTAGGCCCTCTGCGTCGATTTTCTTACTCACTGAGAGTAGGCACTCTACGTACTTGCCTTTCCGAGAGAAGAAACCAAAAGCAACCTTTTCTGTTTCTAAACCAGTCATGGCTTTATTAAGTACAATGCCGAAATTAACAAAAGCTTCTTGATTCTTTAGACGACAACAAGACATTTGAGTACCGAAAACCTCTCCTAGAAGCATTTTGTCCATTACCTCCTCGCGCTTCCATCCAGTTAACTTAATCATAGCTGCATTCCACTCACAACACCAGCCAAATTCATCTGTACCGAATATAGGAGGGATTAACTGATTCGGGTTCTGCACAATTGCTTTGTAATCGCCTTCGATTCGGGTGAATTTGTCCATGACAGTCTTCTGAGCAGTAATATCTTGGGCCACAAAACAAACCCCCACTACATTTTCACGAAGATCCCTGCTTGCACACGCATTAACTATCAAACTAATAGGACCGGATTCCACCTGATCCCCATGTGTTTTTATCTCGAATTGAACATTCTTCTCTTCTTCACCTGATTACATTATAAGATAACAAAATCAACAGTTAGAGTCTTAAGTAAGGATAATAAGATGGAAAAGGAAAAAGGCATACCCTGCAGTGCCAAGTTGAGCATCTTCTTGACAATATCAGTTGAAGAATCCTCAACCAGGGTGAGTAAATGTTTTCCAATAGCTTCGCCAACTGGAAGACCTGTCAACTCGGCGATTTTTATATTCCATCCGTTGACCGTCCCATCAACATCCACTGCCAAAATAGGCACTGTTGCTGTTTCAATTAATCTAACCATCTCACTTGTCACTGCTTCCAATTCCTGCATCCCTTCAATCTTCAAATCATTTAGTCTTGTATTGATTGCTTTCGTGTTCAAATCTATAATATCTGTATCTTTGGACGCATTTCTCAGTATTAACTGCAACGAATGAATAGCATCCATTTCAAAGTCTTTCCACGGCACGCTTCTGGCTTTCACAACTTCAAGGAAAGCCTTGAATGATGATCTTGGATGCATCTTCCTACCATCATCCTGTTCGCCCGGTTCATGCTTTGCACCACCCCATCGGATTTCTGCAGCAGTGTGTGACCTAAACCAGAAAACTATGTCTTTTGAAGTTATTCTAACAGCTGCCATTCCACATACAGTATCACTAAGAGAAAGAGCCCCTGGAAACCCTGCATCCGACAAGCTATCTGTACTCAAACCTGTCGAATCTGTATGATACTCAGACATCCATAAAGCTATCTCTCTTATTTGAGATTCAGTCGGTGTCGCACCTAATAACCATAACTTGTTTCTATAGAAGAGTGCAGCCCCATCACATTTCACTAGATCCATTATATTAGGGCTTTGTGATACAATACCTAAGGGTGCATCTCGCATCAACATATCACACAACAACGTCTGTGTGCGCAGGATATTCTTCTCAAGAATCTGATATTCTAACTCTATTTCTTTGTTCACATGTATGGCAAACACTTGAGCCAGAAACTCACAAGCATACCTTAGAGGAAAAGGAACAAACCTTGGAGTAGTGTTATGACAAACTACCAAACCCCAAAGTCTCTTTTTCTTTTGTGGGAGAACTGCATCAGCGCTATCTCCATCTTCATCGCTGTCATTGACGACTACTGCCATAACCAACGAAGCAATTGAATCCATGTTAGCCATGTACTGCAAATGGCAACTATGTGGAGCTCTTAAGGTCGAACCACAGAGAGTCAAATCAAATGGGAGTTTTTCGTCTTGAAGAACCTTCACATGTTTTGCATTACAATCAACTATCATGCGGACCTTGTTCTTCATAAATAAAAACCGTGCAGCCTGGGGAATATCTGTTGCCGGATAGTGCAGCCCTAGATATGGCTCTAGGCCTGGCTTTGCTATCTCAGCAATCACCTCCCCGTGATCATCCTCGTGAAATTTATAAGCCATCACCCTGTCATAACCCGTTAGTTCAAAAACTTCTTGAACCATGGTATCACAAAGCCTTTCCATGCTGCCACTAGCCAAAGATTGCAATCTTGTAATTGCTTTAGCAGCAAGTTTGTAAGATTGCAAGGCACCCGCGGCAGTCATGGGAACTTCATAAGGCTTCACCGGCTCAAAGTCAATGATCAAACTACCCGTAACACGATGGATGATCGCGTAAAACGGCTTCCCAGAAGTCTTGCAATGAACAAGAATCGGGTTAAGAAGTGAAACCTCCGCAAACCCTAGTGCCTTCTGCAACGCAGAAGCACTCGGTGCAGTGAAAACAGTCCTTATGTCAGTTCCAATGCCAAGGGCAGGATGGTCACCCACGCTAGGAACAGCATGACTCACCATAGTCAGCATCTCAGGCGCATTCTCACTATACGCAATAACCTTGCACGTTTTCTCATCTAAAGCCAGCAAGCACCCGAAAGGCTGGATCTGCTTACCTCTCTGTATATGATTGAGGTAAGCTGTTGTCACTTTGTTGGACCTCGGTTGTTGATCTCCATCCACCGAGCCAGAAACACGCACCGAACTCGAGTAGTCAAACGAACTACCAGACTCCTCAAAAGTTGCATGAAGCTTCGCATCCACAGTTGTCTGAGCAATAATCCTAGCACTATTTCTTGACCTCCCTGAATTGTTGGACGATTGGCTAGGCCTCGTGGTTGACATTTTAACACAAACTACATTTACAACAATAAAAAAAACAAGATAACCAAGTCAATCAAAACCATATACTATGATGTTACAAAACTACTAAACTCTATCATCAATATGACAAAATTATTAAAGGCTTTAACAAAATAACTAGTCACAATCTATGAATTAAAACCCAATCATAGAAAACAATCAAATCAACAACCCTCACACATCATAAAACAGGACAGTATAATAAACACAAGAAGCAGAATAGTAACTAACCTTGAAAGGGAAAAACTTGGTTGTTGAGAAAGTTCAAGTTCAAGTACAAGTTGAAGAAATAAAGGTACTATAGGTAAGGGTTAAAATAACCATTTGTAAAAGACCAGCATACCATACCGTGCACCTGCAGCAGCAACAACAGTAAAAAAGATGGTGAATCTGGATCACCGGCTTTGTTTGTCTCCTACCTAGATGGAGCCCTTAGTCCACAACTGGAAGTTCAGTATTATTATTATTATTCAGCACAGAATTGTGACTGAGAACAGAAGGGACCGCCATCATATGCTATAAAGATATATGAATTTTATAGTGTTCCCATGTGAAGGTGTGGGAGAAAGAAAGGAATGAAATGAATAAAGATAAATAAAAGAATATTATAAAAAAATCAAATCATCATCCAATCCAATCCAACTCTTAGATAGATTCATTCAGCAACAGCATCTACTTGGTGTTGGTGCTGTTTATTTATTATTATGTATTTATAATTTATAATAAAAAATAACTAATTTGGACAAGTGGGTTTGGTTTTGTTCCTAAAATAGATAAGGAAAAAAGGACAGTTAAATGATGATAATAATAATACAGACACATAATTAGTAAACAGAAAACATGACTGTTACTGAGAAAACATGTTATTGTCTTTTTTTTCCTTTCTTCTTCAACTCCACCTCCCATGTCGGCTCTTAATTTTAATTTAGTTTAATAAACGGATAATTATTGAGTCCTAATTCAATAATTAAACATGCTAAGTATAGAATAGGGGTGGGGAAAAAGAAGTGTGACATGGAGGAATTTGATTGGATAAGTGTCCAAGACCCATGCGTTGGATAATGGGAAAGTAGTGAGTTATGGGTGTCACGTGCGAGGGATGCGGAAAGTTTTATGTGATGCGGCTGAATGGTGAGTGATGCCATGTCATCGTATTCTTTGATTTTAATTGGTGGAGAGTTTTTCTCTCTCGATTTCACATCTTTTAGATCACAGCTCATATCTGCAGTAAACTTGTATTTAACAAATGAGCCCATGCCTCGTACGTACCACTGTCATACAACCTTACTGACTCACAGGGAAACACTTGTTAGTCTTACCATGCTATACCAGATTTATACTATATTATATTTACTTGATTTCCTATCCTCTAAGGTTTCTTCTTATTTTATTGGTTAATATTATGTAAGAATCACATTTTCAATTATCACTTTAGTTTTCAAATAATTTTTTTGTTATAATCGAATAAATTTTACTGTCATAATATGCATCCCTTAGCTATTATTTAACAGTAACAAATATCTAAAAAAAAGTCATATAAAACTACATTGTTGTAAAATTTTGAGCATGACTACCGTTGGCTAAAGAGAGACATGTCTGATTTTTATTTATTTTAGTACGGGACGGATAAAAGTTTAGGTCATCATCCTCTAACGTGTTGTCTCGTTTCGTTTTATCTTTTTTGCAAATTTTTACAAACACAGATATTTACATAAATTTTTGTGTTTTTGAACTTAAAAGATGCAGTACATGTGGACTTTCTCTGCCCCATCCTCACTTTTTTGCAGAACGATCTAAGTTTTAGACCTACATTCTCAACTATGACAGTTCCGTCCACTTGCAGAACAGAACAAAATTGAACAGATATGCTCGTTTGTCACCTCTACTAATCACGAATCATATATATCAACTTTACAAAATTTTAACTATGGACGATTTATTTATATTTATATATTAATAATTTTAAAAAAAAATTATAATACTTTAATAAATATTTAAGTTTAGACAAGTTTTATCACTATTCTCCAATTTGAAATATAATTATAAATATAGTAATTAGTTTTTTTTCTCAAGTATTTTAGTGGCTGAAATTTCATGTGTTAAAAGTGAATAAGTTAATGAGTTCGAATCCGCACATCTACCACTGATATCTCTACAGAGTTACCAATGGAGTGGGCTTAACAAAATAGTAACTAGTTTTTAAAGTATATGAAATATGTCAATATAATCCTAAAGTAATGAAAATATATCGATTTAATCTTTGGATGTTATAATAAATTAATCGATTTTATATACTTTAAAGAATTATTTATTATAGTTATATAATTTAAAGTCTAAGAGTTGGAATAACTCAATAGATTTAAGTTGTTGGTCTATATTAAATGAATACAAAATAATGAATATGAAGGTGAGAAAATACACAATAAGGGGAGATTGAATTGTGCATGTCAGAAACGTTTCGCTTATGAAACAATAGCTCTAGAGTTTGAACAGTGTTTAGAGTCTGATATCAGAGTTTATAGTAGCGGCGGAAAGAATATGAATCAGAAGCAATAAGCAAAGAAACACACAAAGTTTATCCTGGTTCCTCTCCTATATTGAGAGTAGTCCAATCTTCTTGCCTCAACAAGAGTTTTTCAATATAATCAAACTAATTACAACTTTGCTCAATCAAATGAGAAAGAGACTTCACTGCCTAATCAATCCAGAAAGAGACTTTCGCTCAAGCAACCTAACAAAAGACTTCTGCTCAATCACACTAAAAAGAGACTTCATTGCTCAAGCACACAGGCATGAGACTTCATTGTTCGAGCACATAGGCAAGAGACTTCCTCTACTTTAAACAAACAATTTAGTAGAAAAGATAACAACTATACTTTGATACACAATCAGAAGTATAGTAGTTGTGCAACAACCACAAAGTTTCTTAACTCTTAAGATTTTTAAGATATACAAAGATAAGAAATCTCAAGACTTTATAAAATAACAGTTATAATTGTTCATATGTAACGTTGTTGTTCACCTTCTTTCAAATCTTCAGCTTCCTTTTATAGATGTAGAAAAGAGTAGTTTGAAGGGATGAGAATAAGAGTTTTCTTCATAAAGAAGCATGCTAAGAGAGACGTTGGAAGATGTATATGGTTTAAAACATTATCCAATGAATAATAGCATCCATGACATCTTTCGAAGTACTAGGTATCTACCAAAAGGTAGAACGGGCTGAATAGGCCACATCACCATTTCTTGGGCCTTGTAAAACGAAACCCAAGTTGAGTCTCTTAAAACTTTGGCGTTTTGACAAGACTAGTATGCTTTTGGTACAAATTACGGATCAGGGGCTGAGAACCTTTAGCTGAGGTCTTCAGAGTCTGAGCTGTCACCAGAGGCTGGAATGTCATGATCAGAGTTTGATCCTTTAGAGACTGATGAACATGATCAGAGTCATCAGATTCTAATCAATCAGAATCTGAGTTACATTGCTTCTCCATAGATGTTTTTAACAGGATCAATTCAAGATTAAATTTTAAACTTGTAATTCTACACACTTGAACATATGTTAGTATAACCAATTATTCTTTAAGTACTTTGTTATCAACAAAACCCAGAGGATATGAACAATTTTGTTCCAACAGAATAAGGGTGGCACATATATATATATATATATATATATATATATATATATATATATATATATATATATATATATATATATATATATATATATATATATATATATATATATATATATATATATATATATATATATATATATATATATATATATATATATATATATATATATATATATATATATATATATATATATATATATATATATATATATATATATATATATATATATATATATATATATATATATATATAAAAAGCCTTATGTATTGTATCTCTTAATGAATAATACACAAGATCTCATGCAAAGCATGTGATCATGATTTCACCACCTTCATTGTTCATTCTCAATATGGTACCAATCGCCTTGAGGACCGTATTCCGCTCGCTAATTCATCTTATTCTTGTTCTTGATCGTGCACCAATTCGCTTGTGAATTGTACCCTTTGTTTGAGGTGTTGCATTAATATAGATTCTTCACGAGAGAGCTTTAGAAAAGCTTTAATTGAGGGTCAAGAAAGCATGCTGCAAGAAGCATAATATGTGCTCAAATCCTCTCAAGCAATGGCACCATCAATGGTGCATACAAGCTCGGGTAACACATTTGCATCGAAGCTCTTCATCAAACTTCAAAAGAACAATTTTCTCTTATGGAATCAACAAGTTGAAGGTGTTATCTTGTCACACAAGTTGCATAAAATAGTGTTCAATCCTAATATTCCATATATTTTCAAAATAGATATTGAAAGACTTTCAAACATTGTATCTGAAGAGTACGAGGCGTGGATCATTCAAGATTAGACACTCTTATCGTGGTTTCTATCTACCATATCTGAATCGGTTCTACCAAGAGTGCTCTCGTGCAAGCATGTGTATGAGGTATGTGACAAAGTCCACAAGCACGTTCACTCGCAAATGAAGGCAAGATTTCATCAACTTCGAGTTTAATTGAAAACAATCAAGAAAGGTAGTAAACCTATTTCAAAATATGTTATTTAAATTAGAAAAATTGCATATTCATTACTAGCTATTGGTGACCCCAACTTTGGGAAAGATCAAGTGGATATAACCCTTTCATCATGATGATTTATGGGAAAGTGTAACCTACTGAAATCTATGAGGTTGAAACATTAATCAATGTCTAATAAGCTCAAATGAAAAAGTATAAGTAAGAGCTTACAACTCCAAGTGCAACTACTATTATAACACAAGTTAGACCTAACTAGTTCTCTGGCATAAATGCAGGTAGTATAGGAACATATCAACAACTTTGGGGTAAAGCTCGTGGCTTTAGAGGCAGGGGTAAAGGAAAACAAAGTTATAACATAGGAAACATGTCTACATGTGAGTTA